TTTTTTTTTTTTTTTTTTTTTTTCCCCCCCCGAATGTTGAAGTAACACACACGGGTGTTTTGCTCATGCACAAATTTCTTGAAATACCTCAAGGGGAAAGGAAAAATCGAAAAGGTAATTTGTTTCTCATAAAATGACCATTTTTCTATTAGTCGAAAAACGGATCCGGCGTCCCTTACCTATTCGCCATGGTGACGTGGAGCTGGGCGAGGGACTCCCGACCGGGCCCATCTCCAACCGCAGCCTATGAAGCACTTAAGAAAGAGAGGTCTAACAAATTATAGTAACTAGGCCCTCTGCACCATCGACTTAAGCAGATTGATAAGAACTTGACTGTCAGAGCAGGGGGGTGGGGTGGAGGGTGGGATCATGGGGTTGGGCCGGCACAGTGCCACTCTGACCAGGTACTCCTACCCCTTGCAGAGAGGGTTCGTTATTTGATCATTGGTGGTGAATGGGCCTCTCATCTCATCTGGCTAAGAGGCATTGAGCTTGCAGTACCCATGTGGTCGCTCTTGCTTCGCGCCAGAGGCCTCGCGGAGGCTACAAACTTAAAGGGTATGACTTGATTGTTTTGCCCGCCAAATTCAGAAGAGAATGCAGGCGATTGGGGGACGGCGGGGCGAGGAAGAGGGGATGTTTACATCTAGAGGGGCGGGGGGATGGGTACATGTCCGAAGGCTTTGAGAGGAGAGAGAGGGGAGGTGTGTGTGCCAAGCCTATCGAAGATTTGAAGGAGCGTATGTACGCATTCCCGTGAGAGAAAACAGCAGGCAGGAAGGACTGTGGAGTGGCATGTGTGCATCTCAGGGACTCGGATAGTGGCGGCGGCTGCCCACGTATAAGCAGGGGTGGATGTGGATGTCGATGTGGATGGTTTGGAGTGGGTGGGAAAGCGAGGAGAGAGGATACGGCTGAGCCACAAAGAGAATGTAAGAGTAATGTGTGTATCTTAGGGTAGGATGTGTACACCTCCGAGTGGACAGTGGGACACCTCTAGGGCAGAATATCAATGTTGTTCTTGCCATCAGTGTGCATGAAGGTGGGCTGCAAATTTACCAGTCGGTATGGGAAGAGACTGCGAAGGGTGGTGCGATAGGAGCCCCGGTAGCACCCTCGTCAGATGGCTCCTGTCTATTGGTGGGGAGCAGCAGCTGCTGGAAAACCGGTCCGCCGTCCCTTCCTGCGTTTTGCTTTCCGGCCGCTCCATGAGGCCTTCCAGTTTGGCACGACATGAACCGAAGCAAGGGGAAAAAAACGCGGTGCATCTTCCTGGTTCCTAGCAGGAGATTCACTCTCATTTTCCGCATTTGGTGAGTTCTGAAGCCGGCCCGACGGGATACACGTTTCATATGGCCCGGCGTCGGCCTTGGCCGCTCCCTTCCTGGGCCCTAGGCTCATTTGAGTTTTCCCAACAGTGGAAATGGAGGCTCGTGTGGGACGCTCACGCGAGACCCTCTATTTCCTTTAGAGTATTATTAGAGAAGAACGATTGAAAACGTGGTCCTACTGCCATTCACTCTAGCAATCCTTTTTTTTTTTTTTTCAACAAACAGCCCGAGCAACTGCTAGGGGTGCTGATAGAAGCAGACACCAGTAGCACTCCCGGGGAGGCTCCATCTATTGGTGGGGAGCAGCACCTGCTGGAAAGCGGGTCCAGTGTCCCTAAACATTGGCAATTGGTTTGTTTGGACAGACATGTGATGAGCAGTCGTTAACAATGAGCAGCATTGATTACCCTCGTACGAGGGGATTAACTGCCCATCAAAACCCTAGGATGGGTGCACTACAATCCTGCAAACAAGGTCTGTAGCTGAAATCGCAACTCCCCCACAGCAAATGTGACTAGAATCTATTGTATCATACGATTAGACAAAAATAACTCAAAAAACACCACTCTACAAATTCACAGGGAAAAAAAAGGCATAAAAAAGCAACCTTGGAGATGATTGTCTGCCAGGCGAATCCAATGTAAAAAGATCCGGAAAAGCTCCCCACTGCAACCAAACCATTTCAAGGCTTTGGCTGTGCAACCCTTCTTTTGTACTCTGTACTCCCAGTCTGCCAAGACAGCTTGCTTTATAGCGTACTTGATTCCTGCTCTCACCATTGGGGGTGTAAGATGTTCTCCCCCCCCTTCTCACAGCAGCATTCCGAAGATTCCACATAGTCCACTCACTGGCGGCTCGAATAGTTTCTTCTTCTGGATGCCATGGGCCAAATGGTCTTCTTGAACCCACCCCCCTCAGCACAAAAAAAAGACAAAAAAAACAAAAAAAAACTGATCATCCCACTAGCACTGGGTAGCTGCCCCCGGGGACAGGGAGGTTGGACCCTCTCCACCGCTCCCAAAATGGTCTAGATATTTCACGGAGTAATAGAAGGTGATGGATGTCCTCCATTCGCGTTCCTCGGCAAAGTCTGCATTCCAGAGTAGCCTTTACGGTGGTGGTTCTTCGTGCACAGGAAGAAGCTAAAAGGCAGACCACGTCTGGAGGGGGTCTCAAAAAGGGTCCGCCGGCGGCCACGCAGGCTGCTGACGAAAGGGGCACCAAAAAGTAAATTGTGGGTAGCGGGCCTCTCCAATGTGACCTGAAAACTGCCTCAAAATTTTGGATTGAAGGTCATCAGGTCCCCCTCCGTGTGAGTATGCCCTGCGTGGGTGCACTCTATGAACTGTTGAAGCACAGGCCCGAGCTCGAATCCTGATGATGGAACTTGATGAAATGATTAAGAAAAAGGGGAAAAAAAAAACAAGGCAAGTTGAAGGAGGTGGCGAGGATTCGACAGAGGCAATTGAATTGCTTGGTGGTGCCAAAAAACAAAAAGGAAAAAAACGAAGAAAAAAGGTTGGACCCCTGGGGGCAAGTCCCACTAGCAGCGTTGAGCTACGTCGACGCCTGAATCTGGACGCTTTTGCGGAGATGTGCAAAAATGCTGTTGAGTTTGCTGAACTGCATGTCTCCACAAAAACGTCCAGATTCAGGCGTTGAGGTAGGTCAACGCTGCTAGTGGGACTCGGCCCCTGGGGCCATGCCCCCTTGTCGAGGTTTAGTTCGGGTTTCAAGTACGCAGGGCTCCCTGCCATCCGATCTGAAAATTCCACGGCCACGGTGTGACCACGTTGAAAAACACACGAAACATAAACAAACCCCCCGCTAGTGGGATATGGCCCCTGAATCTGCAACTCGTTCTTTTTTTTTTTTTTTTTTTTTTTTTTTTTTTTTTTTTTTTTTTTCAAGCGCCCAACCAATTCAAATACCTGTCGATTGTCTCGTTTATAATGAGTGGATTAGTCTTATTAGGTGGGAATGCACAGTTTTGTCTGGGAGAAGGAAGTACACTGGGGTTCAGAACAGGTGATGGTGTGTGTTTTCTGTAATTGGTCCTCGGTTCGGCCGGAGACGTAAGCTAAACTGGCTGATGCTGCCAGGATAACTCCGGGTTGAATTGTGAGGTCCCCGGCCTCAGGGATTGTTTTGGCTTTGGAAAAAAAAAAAAAAAAAAAAAAAACCCTGTCGAATCTGGACTGGGGCGAGGTCCCATTAGCAGTCGGTCGGATAGGAGGAGTGTGGCCTTTCAGGCCATTTTTATTGTCATTATAGTATTATTACGGGGAAGGCCCTAAATGGAACGAAGAAAAGGAAAGGGATAAAAGAAAAAAACATTGGTTGGGCAGGTTGGGCGTGAGAAAACGACAAAACGAACGCGAGTGTATGTGTCCCTCTTCTAGCCGCAGATACACTCTCCACTTCACACTTGGGTGAGTAGTGTGGGAGGCTTGTAGTCCCATCATCGCATGTGGCCTGTTTGCATTACTACTTAGTGCCAATGTGCAAATGGCGATGTATCTTGCCTAGAGTCTGACCAAATACAGTCACAAATTTCATGTTTGTCGATGGGTACAACGAGTGTCGACTGATGGATTGCTTGGTCGATTGATTTGTTGCCTTGCATGATTGGCCGGTTGATTGATTGCTTGTTTGTTTGTTTGTTTGCTTGCTTGATCTACCGAGTGGCGGATTTATTGATTGATGATTGATTGATTTGATCGATCGATTAATTAATCGATTTAATTGATTGATTGATTGATCGATCGATCGAGTGATTGATTTGATGAATTGATTGATCGATCGAGTGATTGATTGATCGATTTCTGATTGATTGATTGATTGATTGATTGATCGTTCGAGTGATTGATTGATCGCTTTAGGAACTCATTGATTGATTGATTGATTGATTGATTGATTGATTGATCGTTCGATTGAGTTGATTGATTAATTGATGTATTGATTGAAAGGTTGATGGATTGATTGCCTGACTCGTACATGATTGATTTCTTGATTGGTTGGTCTCCTGATTGGCTGTGCTTGATGGAGATTGATTACTCGATTGATTGATCGATCGAGTGATTGATTGGTTGATAGATTGATCGATCGTTTGATTTATTGATCTATTGATTGATCGATTGATTGATTCACTGACTCGTACACGATTGATTTCTTGATTGGTCGATCTCATGATTGGCTGTGCTTGATAGAGAATTCATTACTCACTCGTTCGTTCGTTCGTTCGTTCGTTCGATCGGTTAAAACCGATTGATTAGCTGGCAGGTCGTCTGAAGTCGGCGTTGATTTGCATACAAGGGCGAAGGATGATGACTAAAGAGAAGCCCAGAAGCTACGTGGCACACGGACGCGCAAGCCACGTGGCACATGGGCGGGGTAGCCACGTGGCACATGGCCGGGGAAGCCACGTGGCACACGGTCGGCAACTTCTTCGCGGGGATGTGGCAGCCATAGCCATCGTCGTCCTCATCCTCGTCTGTGGGCCCTTTTGGGAGAGGTGGACGGTTTCGTCTCAGAAGGGAGCAGGAGGAGGAGAAGGGGGAGAAGAAGAAGGGTGGGGACTACGAGCAAGCTCAGGGGTGCAGGCGGCTGCTGTCGGGATCGGGACGCGAGGATCGCGCGGAGCGAGGGAGAACGCGACACGTGTCGGGTCTCGAGGTAGTAGTGTTCCGAAATTCAGTCTGGAGAGCGATGGGGATGATAATGGCGGGGGGGGGGGGGGGGGGGGGGGGGGGGGAGGGGAGGGGGGGGGGGGGGGGGAGGGAGGGAGGAGGGAGGAGAGAGGAGGAGGAGGAGGAGGAGGAGGAGGCGGAGGAGGGGGAGGAGGGAGAGGGAGAGGTTAAGATAGAACACGGGGAAGACGGCGGATATGGAGGGGGCAAAAGAGAGGACGATGAAGAGGGAGAGGCAAGCGTGAGTGGTCTGCAAGAAGACACGTCGACGACGAGAGAGGAGAGAGAGGGAGAGGGAGAAGGAGAAGAGAGAAGAGATGAACAGGGAGGGACTATGGAAAAGGAACACTCGACCGTGGAGAGTATGCTTCATTGGGCAATAGGTGAGCTTTTATTTTTCTTTGTTATTTCCTTGTTTTTTTTTTTTGGTTCTTTTGCTTTCTCGATGGGGCTTCTTTAGTTACCCGCCTCTTCTATCAGTTATTGTGTCTTGTTTTTTTTTTTCCCCTTTCTTTTCTTTTCTTTTCTTTTCTCTCTTTTACCTTGTATTGCTGTTTGCCACACCACCTTTTCTCTCTCTTTTCTCCCTCTTTTCTCTCTTTCTCCCCCTCTCTTCTTTCTCCCTCTCTCTCTCTTTTCTCTCTTTCTCCCCCTCTCTTTTCTCTCTCTCTTTCTCCCTCTCTCTTTCTCTCTCTCTATCTTCTCTCTCTCTCTCTTCTCTCTCTCTCTCTCTCTCTCTCTCTTTTCTCTCTTCCCTTTTCGTCCTTCCTCCTGTTCCCACGCACTTGTATTTGATGAATGATTATCCGATTACTGGAAATGGGAAAAATATAGATTCTGAAAGAAAAGAAAAGGGAAAAAAAAAGAAAAGAAAAGAAAAGAAAAGAAAAGTAAAGAGAAGAAAAAGAAAAGAAAAGAAAAGAAAACAAAACAAAACAACACAAAAGAAAAACCAACGGGCTTCGCCCAAGTGGTACACACCCCTGAACTGAACTGCTGAAATACAGACCAGGTCTCTTGTTTCTCCCTCTCTCTCTATCTTCTCTCTCTCTCTCTCTCTCTCTCTCTCTCTGTCTTTTCTCCCTCTTCCCTTTTCGTTGAAATACAGACCAGGTGCTGAGTTCGAATCCAGCTGGAAAAGAAAAGAAAAGATCGATCGATGATTTGGTACTCTGGTCATTGGTGTTAACCTTTTTTTTTTTTTTTTTTTTTATAATGTTTATAGAAAGTCGGTGGTATTACTGACCCTCTTGGTTCGTCCTTGCGTGGGTGGTTTCTACTGACGATGGAGATTGCCCCTGGCGGTAGTCACGCCGAGAAGGGCGCGTGTCATGGTAGTCACGAGAACGACGTACACCGAGGATGACACGTGTCACGATAATGACGTATACCGAGGATGACACGTGTCACGGTAGTCACGCCGAGGATGACACGTGTCATGGTAGTGACGCCGAGGATGACACGTGTCATGATAGTGCAAAGGACATGATTGACACACACACACAAGTGAGTCAGCGTGCGTTTCATTCAGAGAACGATAGCCGACGAGTATATAGAAACATGGGGGGTAAGAAGAGAGAGAGAGAGAGAGAGAGAGAGTAGAGAGAGTACTGCGGGGCTCAGGCTGCAGAGAGCGTCTTATCCACTGTGGGTTATCTTATTCACAGTGGATATCTTATCCAGTGTGGATAATGTTATTATCCACTGTGGATTATCTTATCGACATAATCGACCTACCTTGACCCCAGTCTGCAGAGAGAGTCCGGAGTTAACTCCGTAGGCAGGTGGTGGATTTATTATCTTATCCATGTACACGGTAAATGTACGTGGGGATAAGTGGATAAGATAAAATCCACTTATCTAACTCGAGAGTCGAAACCCAGTGTGCAGAGTCAGCAGGCAGTTAAAAGATGATAATGTAAGTGGATAAGATACGCATGGCTAAGCATGGCTAAAAAAAAAAAAAAAAAAAAAAAGATACGCATGGCTACGGTAAACACCAGTTGCAGGTGGAAAGCTCGGAAACATGGA